GGGAGAAAAATAACAACAGACCAAAATATTTTTTGTAGTATCCTCCTTATCAGAGAAATGCCAGTAATTTTTGTTATGAATAGTAAAACAGGAGGAACCAAAATGAAGACGTTGAGTACTGTGAATGAAAAACTCCTCATTTTGTGAAAGATGAAAAGCAAACTGCTGATTATCACATTTTATCTCCAAATGAAGGAGCCAATGACCCAAGAAGTATATACTGGAGGAATGTTGTCTCTAGGGGTAGCAGTATAAGGAGAAAAGTGTTGGACATGGTTTCTCTTTCAGAAACTGGTTCAGACAACAATTTCTCTATTCTTGTGTGGCTATGACACATAGTGGATATAGCTGACACCAAGGTTGATTCTGGGTAAATTCACACAAATCCAGTTATACAGAGGTTACCACTGTGACTGCTTACAATGCTGATGATGTACTGACCCCTTGCATACCATCTGAGGGGAAGTTTACCCAGAAGTAGACAGTAATTGAGAAATTGCTCTCAAGAGAAATCTATCCATAGAGAGGTTGAGAAAATAAGGAAGATAAGAAAAGGTAAAAGTCATACAAGGAAAAAGTTCTATTGCATTCCCAGCCTAACAGTGTTCCTGAGAATAACACCATGGCACAAACCATATCTCACATTTGTCGAATGCTGAAGCAAAGCAGCCGGTGCATTATACTCTTGTACTACAAGCATAAGGGGTATAGGTGAAGAGGAAAATTCCAGGTACTTCCTACTCTCTAGGATGAAGAAAGGTAAAATGTCTGAAGGAAATCTATGGAAGGTATAAATTATTGAGCAGTTAGCAACAAAACATGGAGGATATGAACAGAGACCTGGTAAAATGAAAAAGAAAATCTGTACCTGGTACTAACAGAGTTCACTGCCAATCTCTCACCAAATTTGAAAAACGATAAATAGAATAAATGCAAAAGTGACCTTCTTAGGTGGAGGAATCATTTTTCCAAAAGTAAAAAAGTGAAAGAAAGAAGAAGTAAAAAAGTGAAAGAAGAAAAGAAGGAATTAAATTTTAATCCCTACTTAAAATAAAGGAGCTCTAGTGGAGAAGGACATTATACTCGGAAGGGTGGAGAGATAGCACAGGATGAGAAGACCCCAGAGGAGATGGATTGATACAGTAACTGGGACAATGGGTATAGGTGTGTCAGAGTCAGTGAGACTAGCTCAGGACAGGGCAGGCTGCAGAGCTGTTGTACATTAGGATCATTATGGGTTGCAGGCAACTTGACAACACATAACAATAAGACATTCAAATTTCACTAAAGTATATTAAAAAACAGGTGTGACTAGGGAAATATTTTTCCATAAAAATATAGAAAAAAATAATTTAAAAAAGGAAAGACTTCCCTTTGGGTTCCATAAAATTAACACACAAATTTTAATAAAAACTATTTTTGTATTTCTTGAAATGCTTAAAGAAAAATCTGCAAAGACCATGGAGAACTATGTGTAGCAGTTTTATTTATTGATGTTAGGTGATGTGAGTGCAATATGACTCATAGCAACTCTATATAAACAACAAATTGGAACCTTGGTCTATTCTGTCAGGATCATAATTTTGGCTATGTTGCAGTAACTGTTAAACAGGTCCTTTCTGGCGAGGGTGAAACTAGGCTGCTTCTTGGAAACAAGGAATTTGAAGCATCGCCTGACATGCTTTGGGCATGTTGCAAGGAGGGACTAGTCCTTGGAGAGGGACACCATGCTTGGAAGGGTGGAGGGACAGGGCAAGAGAGGAAGACCTTGGATAAGATAGTGAGAGGGATAAGGGAGGTATGTGTGTCAGAGACAATTAAACTGGCTCAAGATAGAGCAGATTGAGAACTGTTACACAAAGGTCTCTATGAGTGGCAAGTGACTCAGTGGCATATAACAACAACAACAACAACAACCTGTATCAATCTATTTTTTTACCCTCTTCCTTTCTTTCACTGATCACCTAACTTTCCCAGCAAGATGTCTTTGTCCACAGACTGGCCCTTGTTGACAAAGTGATCCTAATATGTGAAATGAAGTCGACAGATGATCAGGACTGGCAAAGACAATGCCTACTTTGCTTTTATTTTTATTTTTTAATGGGTAACCAAAGTGTAGTTTACAATCAATCAATAACTTTTAAAAAAATTTATACTGATTTATTTGCAGAGTTTGAATACATTGCTTTTCACAAAAGATCCTTCTGATTTCCTTTACCACATCCACCGGTCAAATTGTGCAACCCTATGACTTAACACCCTGTCTATACTCACCCCTCTGCTTCCATTCACTGCCACCTGGATGCTCATACTCATTCTACATTAATGGTTTTACACAGTTTTTGTCCTTGTGGAGTTAGTTCATTGTGCATAATGCTCTAGAATCCCTCCCAAGTTAGGCAGTAGTTTACAAAATTGTTGCTCCTGTGTGCTGCGCAGTATTCCATTATATGAATATACCACAACTTCTCAATACATTTATTTGTGGTTGGACATCTGTGTTGTTTCCACGTTCTTGCAATGGTGAATAATGCTGCCATGAACACAGGTGTACAAGTTTCCATTTGTGCCTCAGCTCTTATTTTCTTGTTTTCAGTTCTTATACTCCAAGCAATAGAATAGCTGGGTCATATGGAATTTGTATGTTCAGCTATTTGAGGAAGCATCAGACTGCCTTCCAGAGTGGTTGTATCATTTTACAATCCCATCCAGCAATGTATTAGAGTTCCTATCTTGCCACATCGTCTCCAACATTTATTATTTGCTGTCCTGTTAAACTTTGCCACTGCTACTGGAGTGAGGTGGTATCTCATTGGGGTTTTGATTTGCATCTCTCTTATTGCCAGTGATTTTGAACATTTCTTCATGTGTCTGTTGGACATTTGAATATTCTTTCTATGTCTTTTGCCCATTTTGTAATTGGGTTATCAGTCTTTTTCTTGTGGAGGCCCAGGAGTATTCTATAAAGTTTCATTTATGAGACTCTTGTCTTAGATGGTATTGCCAAATGTTTGTTCTCAGTCAGTAGGTTTCCTTTTCACCCTGTTGGAAAAAGGTTTTGATGCACACAGGGATTGTCCCATTCATCAATTTTATCCTGTTTAGATTGTGCATTTCTGGCTGTATTTGGCAATCTCTTTATATCATAGACTAGGCCTTCAAAGCTTGATCCTAAGTTTGTCTCTTATGAAAATTATATTTTTTGGCTTTACTCCCAAGTCTCTGATCCACTTCAAGGTCATTTTTGTGTATGATTTGAAATATGGATCCTGTTTCAGCTTCCTGCAAATAGCAGTCCATGTTTGGCAGCACCATTTGTTGAAGAGGTCATGATTTCCCCATTTGATAGGTTTTATTTCCTTGCTGAATATCAGTTGACCATAGATACTTAGGTCTAATTCTGGGTTCTCAATTCTATTCCACTGGTCTCTGTGCCTGTCATTGTACCAGAACAAAATCCAACACCCCTTCCTGATTAAGACAATCAGCAAAGTTGGAATAAAAGGGAATTTTCTCAACGTAGTGAGAAATATATACCCAAAACCAAGAGCCAGTAACATTCTCAATGGAAAAATATTAAAAGCATTTTCCTTGCTAACAAGGACCAGACAAGGATGTCCACTGTCATCATTTCTATTCAATAATTTACTGGAAGTGCTTACTAGGGCAGTATGATAAGAGAAGGAAATAAAAGGCATCGAGATTGGCAAAGAGATGGTTAAACTATCGATATATGCAGATAATGGTATACATAGAAAACCCCAAAGACTCAAGAACAACAAAAACCTGTTAAGAGCTAGTAGGCCAATTTAGTAGAGTGGCAGGATAAAATATCAATATAAAAAACCCCAAGGGATTCCTCTACAGTAACAAAGACAACTCTGAGAAGAAAATCAAGAAAGCAGTACTAGTTATAATTGTTGTTTTGTTTATTTTGTTGTTGTATGTCGTCAAGTCACCGGCGACACATAGCGACCCTGTGTACGACAGTCCCAAACCCTGCTCTATTCTGTGCAATCAATCAATCTCATTGAGGGTCTTCCTCTCTTGCACTGTCCCTCCACTCTCACAAGCACGACATACATCCCTCTCCAAGGACTAGTCCCTCCTTGTAACATGTCCAAAATATGTCAGACAAAGCTTCAGAATCCTTGCCTTCAAGGATCAGCCTGGTCTCAACTTCTCTAGGATGAACCTATTTGTCCTCCTAGCAGTTCGTGGTATATTCAATATTCTTCTCCAACACCACAGCTCAAAGGCATCAATTCTCCTTCTATCATCCCAAGTCATTGTCCAGCTTTCTGATATATAGCAAGTAATTGCAAAGACCATGACCTGGATCAGGTGCACGTTAGTCTCTAGAGTGACATTGTTGCTCTTTAGTACTCTTGAGAGATCCCTGACAGCAGACTTTCCCAGTGCAATATGTCTTTTAATTTTCTGGGTGCTAGTACCAAGAGTGGTGATTGTGGAGTCAAGCAAACTGAAACTGTTAACAATCTCAATCTCTTAACCATCTATGAGGATGCTGCCAATTGGCCCAGTGGTGAGAATCTTTGCTTTCTTGATGTTGAGCTTCAATCCATATTAAAGGCTGCAGTCCTTAACCTTCTGCAGCAAGTGCTTTAGGCCCTCCTCAGTTTCAGCAAGCAGGGTTGTGACATCCACATAATGCAGATTGTTGATGAGTCTACCTCCAATCCTGATGCCACATTTCTCCTTATATAGCCTAGCCTCCTGGATAATATTTTCAATCAATTGAGACAGAGTAAAATTATACTCAAAACCAAATGAGCCCTAGGGATATACGGTATAGTCTTATCAAGCTGCTAAGCAAAAGACTGGTAGTTCAAATCCAAGGCAGTACTTTCTGTAAAGATTTACCTCTTAGAAACTTAATACAATTTTGTTTAAATCAAGAATTATAAAATTTGCTTATTATATAGTACAAAATGTAATTTATATAATATCCACAGTATTGAAAACAAAACAAAACTAACCTGGGCCATTTAAATACTGGGTAAGTGAACAGTGTAGTCGGACAATTATAGGTTCTGTTCGAATTACTTCCCAGGCCACAGCAATCTCCTCCTGCACAATTATATTTAAAAGTTAAATTAGGCTTATTTCAGTAGAATTATTTTAACTTTCTTCAAATTAAAGTAAATTTTAAAACTTAAGTTGAAAACTGAATAAAACTTATGTTGAAAACTGAATGTATAAATCACAAATAGATATCTCAAATAAAAGTGTTTTGTGAAAATCAAGTGAGTACTTTTCATTTCGTATTTCATATAAAAATTAAAACTGAGCATGTTAAGAGATACCCACTCCTCATTTAGTGATATAGTTCAGTTCCCAATACCAGGTTGTTATATGAAGTCATTGTCGTACAAAAATGAAGGAAGACTTCATCAAATCATGGAATGATGGATGTCACCACCATTATGTAACTGTCAGATTTCATCTTTATTTATCTTCCAAATTATATCCTTACAAAACTGTCAAATTATATAATTACATAATTGTCAAGCTAATGAGAATCATGGCCTCATCAAGGTGACATACAACCTTAATTATCATAAGCAGGGTCACTCTTATCATAGCATCATAGCATTTATTATATAAATGAGTTATTCATGAGCAATGTATTTGAACAGCAGATCTTCTAATATTGTCTCAAATTAAAGCTATCTAATAAGGAGAAAGCCAATAACTGAAGATCAAGTAATAATACAAAATACTACAAAACTTAAAAATAAACCAAAAACACTGTTAACACTGAGCTGGAGTACTATACTATACTATATAGTACTACAGTATCTACAAATGTCAGAATTATTAAAAGAATCAAGGCAAAATACAGATGTGTGGGTGTTCAGCAACTTACAACATTTCTCCAAATACGACCTTAACTAATGCAAAATATGTAAGAGAACAGGTAATTAAATTTGGCCAGGTATTTAAAAAATCAAATCATTTTTAATACAGCAATTATTGCATAAATGAATACTTACATCAAGAAAGCTAACATCAATATGGAGATCAATGTCCACATCATCAATGGCTCCATATTCCCTGAAAGGAAAGATAAACATTAATTTTTAATTTTCCTTCAAAGGTAGATGAGTTTGAGTATTTTAAAACTCAATCCCTTATTCACATTCTTGGTTTCTATATAGCGCTAGGAACTGACTATAGACATGAATAAACAGCAATGTCACCTTCTTTGGCCTATTTATACCACAGATACATATTTTAATAGACACAAATTTATTGTTTATAGTCCTCTTATCAGCTCTATCTCGTAGCTCATTCCAGCTTAAGTATAACAAATGAAATATCCAACTTGGGCCATCATCGCAGTCACTGGCATGTCTGCATTCACTGTGTCAGAAACTGGGTTCTAAACCACTAGTTGCTCAAGGGAAGAAACATGGGGAATTTCCTTTCATGTGACTTAAAACTTCTGAAAACCTGCTCAGAGTTCAAATTGGATGATTTACAATAACAACAGTATTTTATAATGGAAAGACCACAAATGGATGGTTTTGAAATAAATTTATTAATCTTCAGTTTAGAAGTCTATTAGTCCAAAATCCAGGAACCAGCTCGAGGTGGAGATCACCTCTCTATGCATTGCTTGCAAAACAAAGTCCCTGTTTCCTTCAGCATCTGTAAGACTGGTATTCCTCAGAGATATTCATGGTCCCTGTCGTTTCTGGTGCTGACATTCTTCCTATCACAGGGGTCTAGTTCTGAAAGGATACACTCCACTGAAATTCCCTTACTCAGTGCATTTTCTCTATCCTTTTATCTGCTACCAACCAGACTAGACAAAATCATCAGATGAGAGCTGTTACATCCTATCTTGAATCCTCTTGTAGCTATATGGTTTTTCAGATGTTGTTGTTGTTAGGTGCTGTCGAGTCACATACGAATCATAGAGATCCCATGAACAAAAGATCTGAACCCTGTTCTATCCTGTGACATCCTCACACTTAGAGTCCCCTCTGGTACTCATCATGTCAATCCACTTGGTTGAGCGTCTTCCTCTCCTTTGCTGATGCTTCACAATTTCCAGCATCATGTCCTTCTCCTAGCAACATGCCCAAAATATATGAGGCGAAGCCTTTTCATTCTTGCCTCCAAAGAGCACTCTGGCTGTACTCTCTCCAAGACATGTGTGTTCTCTTGACCATCAATGGGATGTCCAGTGGTAAAAATCTTTGTTTTCTGGTTTATCAATTAACGGAGATTAGTTACACAGTTCCACATTAATCATCACATACATGTGTTTTGGAGGACACAATTCAATTCGTGACAGCATCTCTCTGATGGTTTTTCACCTTTTCTGCTGGTACTTTACCAAGCATAATGTCCCCTTCTAACAACTGGTGTTTCTCAATGTGTCAGACTGAGGAGAAAGAAGAGGACTGGGAGCGTTTTCTGCAGAGTATAAAGGGCGTCAGCCTTCAATATGGATTGCATCTCAACATCAAGAAAACAAAAGTCCTCTCCACTGGTCCAATAGGTAACAAACATCATGATGAAGAAAGAAAAAAAAATTGAAGCTGTTCATATTTTCATTTTGCTCAGATTTACAATCAATTCCCTTGGTATAGAAGTCAAGAAATTAATAAAAGACCGGCTTCCTGGGAAAATCTGCTGTCAAGGATCTCTCCAGAGCGCTAAAGAGTACGCATGTCAGTCTAGAGACTAAAACACACATGATCCAGGCCATGTTCTTGCTATTGTTAGGTGTTACTGAGTTGAGTATGATTCCTAGTGATCCTATGAAAAACAGATCTGAACTTTGTCTGATCCTGGACCATCTTCACAAACCCTAACATGCTCAAGTTCACTGCTGCAGTACCAAGCCAATTAACCTGGTTGAGAGTCTGCCTCTCTTTCACCTTCCCTCCACCTTTCCAAGCATGATGTCCCCTTCTGAAGAAGAGCCTCTTCTAGTAATATGCCCAAATTGCGTAAGACAAAGCTTTTTTTATTTGTCCCCAAGAAGCACTCTGGCTGCATCTTCTCTGAGACATATGTTTGTTCTTTTGACAGTCCATGGGATATTCAGCACTCTTCCTCAATACTACTGCTAAAAGGCATCAATTATTTTGTCATCTTTATTCACTGTCCAGCTCTCAGATGCATAGCAAGTGACTAAAAAGACTGTGGCCTGAATCAAGTGCACCTTGGTCCTGAAATTGATATTATTTTTTAAATTATTTTTTCTTTTACTTTTTTTTATATGTACACTCATGTTTATTACTGCATTATTCACAATAACATAGGGATAAAAGCAACCCAATGTCCATCAACAGATGAATGGACAGAAAAATCATGGTATATTCACAAAAAGGAACACTATGCAGCACTGAGAAACAATGAACTCATAAAACATCATATAACATGGATGACCCTGGAGGTCACCATGCTGGGTGAAATAGCTCAGTCTCAAAAGGACAAATACTGCATAACACCACTGTTATGAAGCAGAACTAACATGGGAGGTTGGGAGGAGAATATGAAAAGAGTGGAAAGATAATGAAAGGTGTATTGAAATAGATGAGGGAGAGAACTATTCAAAAGGAATATATAATTAGGCATTATATATAAGAAAATTAATGGTCTAGAATAAGAGCTACATTACAAATAGTACTGGGAGAGGTGGAGAGGAAAGCTGGAGGGAGGGAACTGTGCAACAATGAATGAATTATTTTTATTTTAAAAAGAAAGTGAGCTATTGCCCCTCAAAACGTGGAGAAGTCCCAGACTGCAGACTTCCAGTGCAATGCAAATTCTGATCTTCTAACTGCTAATATCACGTGTACTGATTGTGGATCCAAGTAACATGAAGTCATTTACAATATTAATCTTCTCTCCATCTTTCATGATGTTGCCCACTGGTCCAGTGGGGAAAACTTCTGTTTTCCTGACATTGAGATGCAATCCATGTTGAAAGCTGTAGTCTTTGATCTTCTTCAACAAGTGCTTCAAGTCCTCCTCATTCTGAGCAAGCAAGGGTGTGTTACCTGCAGAAAGCTGGATATTCATGAATATTCCTCTGAATCTGATGCCACATTCATCTTCAAATAATCGAGCTCCTCAGCTAATTTGCTCAGCATGCGGACTGAATAGGTATGGAGAAAGAATACAACCCTGACGCACACCTTTCTAATTGCAAACCCTTGCTCTGTTTGCCTCTTGTTCTAGGTATAGGTTTCATGAGAGCAAAATTAAGTGTTTTGGGATTCCTATTTTCTCAATATTAGCCATTATCTTTGAACCAGGCCATGGTTTTCTCAACTGTTTGCTATGCATCTGGGAGCTAGACAATGAATAAAGATGAAAGAAAAAGAACTGATGCCTTTGAGCTATGATGCAAAGAAAAATACTGAACATACTAGGGAGAGGGTGAAACCAGTTTGCTTCTTGGAGACGAAAATTCTGAAAATCTGTCTTACATAATTTGGGCATGTTTGCAGGAGGGGTCTGTTCTTAGAGAAGAATATCATGCCTGGAAGGATGGAGGATCAGCACAGGAGAATAACACTGTGGATACGATGGACTGACACAGGCACTGTGGTAACTGGAACAGGTGTGTCAAAGAAGGTGAGGTTGGTGTAGGATGAGTCATTTGTGATTCAGTTGTAGTCAGCTCAGTAACACATACCTGCAGCAACAACACAATCCACCAGTTACGGTAACTTTGGCAATGGGCTGAGTGTGCCAGACACTATGAAGTTGGCTCAGAATAAGACAAGGTTCAGAGCTGTTCATGAAGTTTGCTGAGTCTTAGTCAACTGAAGCACACAACAACATGTCAAAGATAGCCAAGCTGCACTGTTTATTATTCCATATTCTCTTTCTTTTTCTATTTGATATTTTAATTTAGTTTTGCAAACTTTTCAGGTTGCTGACATCCTTGCTTCCCTGATTACTAACCCACTTTGACAGCTGTTCAAGAATATGGTACTGTGTTGTTTATGGTTCTGTGTTCTGTTACACTCTTCATTAGATGTTTCAATTCAGTCTCTTTCTTCAGACAGTGTTTGAAATGTCAGTTAAAGATTTAAATGCTACTCTGTGAAAAATCTTTCCATGTTTTTTGTCCATTTTGTAACTGGGTTATCGGTCTTTTGCTTGTGGAGGCCCAGGAGTAGTCTATAAACTTTCATTATGAGACTCTTGTCTGAGATAATATTGCCAAGTGTTTGTTCTCAGTCAGTAGGTTTTCTTTTCCCCCTGTTGGAAAAAGGTTTTGAAGAACACTGGGATTTAATCTTTAGAAGGTCTCATTCATCAATTTTATGCTCTTCAGATTGTACATTTCTGGCTTTATTTGGCAGTCTTTTTATACCATAGGCTAGCACTTCTAAACTTGATCCCAGTTTGTTTCTTACAAACTTTTGGTCTTGGGCTTTATTCTCAGGTCTCTTATCCACCTTGAGGTGATTTTTGTGTATGGTGTGAGATGTGGATCCTGTTTGCACTTTCTGCAGGTAGCAGTCCTGTTATGCCAGCAACATTTGTTGATGAGGTTGTCATTTCCCCATTTGATAGGTTTTATTTTCTTGTCAAATATCAGTTGGCCATAGATATTTGGGTCTATTTTGGGGTTCTCAATTCTGTTAACACTCATCTACATGCCTGTCATTGTACCAGTACCACGCTGTTTGGGTTACTACAGCTATGTAGTAGGTTTTGAGGTCAGAGAGTGCTACACCTCCCATTTCAATTTGTTTCTCTTAAGAGTTTTATTTATTCAGAGTCTCTTGCCTCTCCAAATAAACTTGACAATTTCCCTTTCAATCTCTGTGAAAAATAAATTTGGTATCTGTACTGGAATTGCTTTGAATATTTAGATTGCTTTTGGTAGGATTGTCGTTTTCACAATACTGAGTCTTCCTATCCATGAACAGGGCACATTTTTCCATGTCTTGAGGTCTTTTATAGCGTCTTGCAGCAATGTTCTGTAGACATGGAAAGAATTTTCACAGAAGAAAATATTTAGATGGCTAACAGACATATGAATAAATGCTCCAAATCACTGGCAATAAGAAAGA